TTTCTATTAATTATTTTTTTTTAATTTCGGTAATAATATTTATTTTATTTTAAGCTTTAGTGAAATTATATGTATACATCAAATATATTAAAAAATAAACAAAAACAAACAATAAAACTAGAAACAAGATTATATAAACACATTATATAAACACATCACACACAATTAAATACGAAAAGCTCTACTTATTAAATATATATAAAATAATATTAAATAATAATAAATATTACTTTTTTATTTTCTCATATTAATAAACATTGTGAGTTATATTTCAGTAACAGTGAATTTGCGGACATACATTCATATGAATTTTTTTTCATATTTAGTATGGAGGGGAGCTTGGCCCCGAAGTTTATTACGCCCTTACTTTAGTTACATCCCATATATGTATTTTAAATCAATTTGTCTTAGAAATATGCATGCCGATTTGTTTCGAATTTTCAAAACACAATCAATCTGAATTAATAATAATTCTCTCTCAAATTTAATTAGAAGTGTCTTAAAATCTGTAAAGAACTTATCGCGAAAATAAAAGTATGTTTTTTTATTTTAAAAAACTATGGCCATCTTATTCGAGTTTACCCTATCTATCCCATTCGCACGTTGACGCACAAACTCAGTCATACGTTGCACTCGATGCGAGCAAACAGTACATGCATATGGCAAATATTTATTCACAAAATGAGTTGAACGTGTGATTTAATTTCACTAGTGCGCGTTCGATAACATGTATTATGCTCACGTAAAAAAGCACTAACAAAATCATATTATTTGAATATTCATATTGTGTATTAACATAAAATTTTAGTACAACAAATTAGATCAGAATTGTTGCAATATAGATATGAAACATAATTAGGAATAGTTGTATAATTTAATTAAAAGTTCATTCATCATTAAGCAAAGACATAAATTAAAATTAGAAGCTATAAGTTATATAAAATTGCTGTTATAATAGAGATTTTTAAACAGAAAATATTTGATTATAATGTACGCGCTGAACGTTTCTTTACAGCGAGAAATCTTACAATTGCTTTATCCGGTCAGATTGTATATAAAATATGCGGCACTAAGAAAACTCTGAAGGATCGTGGACAAAGGAAAAAGGAACGACAGAAAAATGCGATTCAATTGAATAAGAATTTCTGCTTAGAAAAAGATAATCAATAACGGTGAATTGCTGGCTGTAAATTTTCTCTCTGGTGGTTTTAACTGAGTCGGTTGAAAAGAATTGTCATCTCACTATGTTATCGAAGTAATTTACAAAACAAAATAGTGTTTTCGGCATCGTTCGGCACCGACAAACAAATGCCATATTCCTATAGCCACTCGTATTAATTGAATTCTCCAGGCGCGTTTCGCGTTACTGTACGATATAAAATGAGAATAAATTAGTGAGTATCTTTTGAGAAGATCGAAAAGAGTGCATGAGAGAGCAGTAAATATTTGAAAATCTTCTCTCGCAAAAAATGTATGACGTCGAAAAATAATAAGATGTGATTATAAGTTGTGCAGATGCGTTCTTCATATTGTTTGTTAATTTAATCAAAATCTGTTGCTATATTTGGCTAACATATTTAACTATACTAATATAATAATTTATATAAGTACTTCATCGCTTATATTACAATATACATACTCGAGTAATTGTAGAAAATATTGCAAAATTTAATTTTAAAAATTAATTAAATTGAAAAGTTAAGAATTGAGAATTATAAAAGGTGCAAATTTAAATTGCAATCTTCTCGTTAATTCGAAATAATATTCAATCAAGTTTGTATCATTGTAAAATTGTATTTGAAAAATACATGTTTTCAGTAAGGAAACAAAAATTTGGTTTTATCATCAACAAAATTATATTTCGCATTAAATGTAAAATTGTAATCTAAAAAAATTTAAATTTGTGACTAGTAACTTTCGATTTGTTTATATTGTTGTGATTCGTGAAAGAGACTAAAGAACTTGTATGAGATAAACTTTTAGAAAAAGCACAATAAATAAACTCGAAAGAAAATGATTCCAGTTTTTGTCAAATTTTTTTTTCTTATTGTATGAAACTTAATGACGAGAATTTTGTGTGACAAAGATAGCAGTCGTACGACTCGCACATTTCTCTTGCAGTCACGTCTTTTCGCGGCGCGCTTCCGCTTTCGCTACGTCAACGTTCTTTATGTATGAGTAACACGGACGCGTTTTGTCACGACTGACTCATTGGCGCAACATAATTGCACCTTGCGACAAAGACTAAAAACTTACGGTATAGTGCAATGTTCATCACTCGTAGTCGACTTTAAAAGCAAATGAAATTACAAGTGATATTATAAATTATATCGTGAATCATGAGATGATCATAGTTGATATTAACAAAATTATTGCAAAATATTTCTTGGTTTTAAATAGATTTGTTTACAATAAATAAATAAATAAAAACCAATTTCCTTGATTAGAATAAAAGTGAAAGAAATATACATATTTTCAGATAAAAATAATTTTTCCGGAACGTCTATAAATTCTTCAGTTTTTCGTAACAGACAGTGTTTTACTCAGTTGGATGTTTTATATGTAACATATTTTGTGTTACAACTGTCGACATGATATAACAATCTATCACACGCGCTGAGCTCAGCTCAAAACGAAATCCGGCAAGCAGAATGAATAAAAAGTGCGAATTTTACAGCTCGCTTTGCCGTCTAAAATGATGCGAAATTGGCATACGGATTCTCCGTGACGTCGACATTATTCGATAGAATTTGCGGAGATACACAAAATGTGCGATTTCTGATCGATGAAAGTCCAAGAGTTTTATTTCGCGACTAACAATGATAGCTAACAATGAATACTGCATTTCTTTCGTTTCTCTATGAATGAAATATATTACGGATTGAATTTTTATCAATTTTACTGTATGCGAAGATCGTTCATGAAAGAAGCCGTTCAAGCCGTTTAAATAAATACTTACCTCTGTATACCGTTACACGTTTATTCACAGAGAGAAGCAAGAAATCTTAATTAAAGATTACATTAAAAGAGTGATTAATCAAGATAATTAACGTCATCAGGCGCTGACAAAGTACATAAACATTCGTCAAGTAGAAATGCGAGACCGTTTCGGAACAGGAGTTCCTGCAATATACACTATGATTAATCGATCGAATGTGTCGTGCGATGCAAAAAGTTCGACGACGCGTGTATTTTGACCGTATAATGCACAAGTTGCATATGTGTTGCATTACATAAGCAAAACCTTGAACCTGTCACTAATAATTTACAATCGCTATATATTCTGTTATTTTACATTTTCTCGCATTTTAAAGAAGAAAGCACGAAAACACATAATATTTGGACTATGCTTCGATATTATTTTTCACTATTTTTATTTATAAAGTGTACAATTTATAGATTTCATAATAAATAATATATTATATTTTGACGGCAATAAATAGAAAAACAGTAAGAGAACTGAAAATACAATGAAAATATCTCCTTCTGTGAGACTAGGAGATGTGTCTCTCGATTACATCTCACTCAATTGCAGCAGAAGTGAATCAAATCAAAGTAGTGCGACTCGACGTCATATCGGCCATGAGAAGAGAGAGAATAGAAAAAACCGTGACCAAATGTTTATGACCTACCATTAAACATAAAAAATTTATAGTACGCTGAAGAACTTGGAAACGAAATTAAGAAAAGTGTAGCCATTGTTTGCGATATTATATTTCAATGTATTGTCGAAGACGCGAAAAAACCTGCGCGATATAACATTTATAGTAATTATCATAAACATTCGTATTTATAATGCAATAATAAAACAGTTTCGAGAGTTAATATTTTTCGCGTAAATAATAGTATTGTTTCATGCTCTTCAACGCAAAAACGTGCTTAGTTTCATCTTACGACTTCTGCGAATGTCGAAAGTTCTGTTGATCTTATTTCGCCATCACGTTTTCTGATTATTTATCCAACATATGGAATTAAGTTTCTACCATTATAAACTTTTCTACTTATGTGACCAATTAAAGGGTCTCCGCTTTTATGAAAAATTTCGCTTTCCAATTCCAACATCAAATGAAAGTTTAAATTTAATATATTAATGAAGAACTTTTTTTGGTTGATACTTCAATATTTATTAAATTACGTGAAGTGCCATTTTAATAAAGGATAAATTCAAATTAAGATTAAATTATGTCAAATTCATTTTCAATTAAAATTAATATAC